AGACCTAGCGGTGCAGCTTGACAACCAGTATTCACTTACTTAGTATAGGGCAATTTCTGCCTGTCTGACGTCGTCGGCTTCCCTTCCGGGCCAATTACTCTCAGAATTTCTTCACGAACTTTATCCTGTAATCATTTCCATTTTTACAAGTAAAGAAAAGAGTGGCAATCCCCGGGAAGATGCATTTCTTGAATAGACTATTCACCTGCACTTCTGGATGACTTGCAAAAAGCAATGTAGCCCATCTGAGGGTTGTGGTGGTCGTTTCCATACCAGCCAAGTAGAAATCCATGCATACATTGAGCAAGTTTTCATAACTAAAATCGGATGTTCAGCTTTACCAGTTTTCAGTTACTAAATACCGTACCAAATGGTAATCTGATACGTTTGATTGGCACGTGCAGTAAACAGTGATTAGTATTCAAGTGCACAGTACTCAGTAGTCCTTGAAAGTATAATCGCCCTTAGAACCCAGCCAAATGTGATTTGGGTCGAACTTGTGGTATGTGCGCAGTTGCGTGAAATTACATTCTGTATGGAAATTCCCTTAACAAAGATGAAAAAAATTGATACGGGCGGAGCTTGGCTGAAATTCTGCCAACTATGGGCGGAGAACCTCAAAAGTGCAGTGTTCAAGTTGAAAACCAGTTTTTTAAATTCCAGATCAGGTCAGGGTTCATGGAATTGTCACAACAACTTCCAAAAAGGGAGTAAGAAAAAAAGCAAAGCGCTTAATACTGGATTAGAACTCTCGAGTAGCCTGTATTTAGCTATTACCTTCCTCAAGGAAGTGATGAGAGAGTTCATCAGGTGTTCAGTTCGTGAGGAGCCCAAGAAAAGCATTGGAGAGAGAATGAGTGTGGGAACATAGGGTGACGGTACTTCTCCCCAAACTCCCAGGGCAAGCGGCAGTAGTTCCGCGGCGAATACCTTTACTTTCCACTGGAAATCCAAACACTTCCCTTCACAGGGCGCATCTGTGCGCGATCGGGTGCCGCGAGCGTGACGCGGTTTCCGGGGAGAAGTTACCACCCCCGGCAACAGATAGCATAACCCTCTGCCAATTCCGAAGCGCCAACTAAAATCTCTAAAAGGCTAACTTCGGATATTTAAATTCTGACAACGTCACCTCACTTTAGATTTGGATCGTTCTGCATTCTCTGGTAGTAGGCTTGTACTAGACATTCAGGCTCCTGATCAACCGAATATGATTCCAGTGCTCTTGCCACATCTTCTTTGATCGTCCGGCGTAGCTACAAAACAGAAAAGTTTCAGAAATGAGCATTCATAGGCTACATAGAGCTTTCGTGTTGTTGAAGCTCCAAACTCACTCCAGCAATCATGTCCTCGAATCGTCCTTTCGACAAGTGCCCAATGATCGGTAAACGGTAAATGATCGGGAAGAGCTGGCCGACGAATGTTAGTGGGCTTTTCCTTTGAAAATAATTAGATAATAAAAAAATTAAATTATATTCAAACACCATGTTGAGTGAATATGATGATGAAATACTCTTGGTAATAAAGTTCCTTGTGATGGTCTATCACTCTGGAAACAAACGTTCGAGTCCCTTCAAGGTGCAGCTCCAATTCTACCCATGTATTCTCTTTGGGCTGGGGTGGACCTGTTGTGGGAGACGATGTTATTCATTGCAAGGGCAACGCAATTGAGAGAGGTTTACAGCTTTTGGAGGGCTACTGGATGGTTTAAAAGTTGTTCTACTTTTGGTTTGTACAAACAAAATTGGGATTTTGGAGCTGACCTGTCGACTGCCTAGAAAGGGCTCGGGCAAACCCCTTCCCCCTCCCCCTCCCTCCCATAAATGAAGTATACCGGTAAATCAGTGATACTCACTTCATGGCTTCAAATACTGTGGTGAGCTCGTTAGCAGCATCCATCATTCGTCCACTTTTATTGTATTCGTAACTGAATCCATATAAGGTCTTGTTTATGATGTTCCCTATGAAAACCTGCAATCATTTTCTTCTGCTTCTTTCTTTTTGAGCGAAATCTAAATTCATATCGATTTCTGGAGAGCATCGCTCTGACTTTAAGATTCCGGTGATACCTCTAGACGCACCTGAATTGGCTCACGAAGACAGACCTCGTCTTTGTTTTTGATTGAGGACAAGTGAGCAAGGAAATCTTGAGCAGAAAGTAGTACCTAAAATATAGCACTTAAATGGAGCTGTAATTTCTTTTACTTTCTTTCTTGTTACGACTACGCTTGCCAATATACTGCGCACGGAACCAGTAATCGTAAGTGAAATGAGATAGTAACGTTGGGACATTAATTGTGCGCATAGTACCGACCTCTTTCGACTTCTGCTCTCAAAACGTTATCAGGGTTACCAACAAATTCCCAATAAACCATTGGTGCCCAGTCGAGGTGATGCCGCATATCTGTTGATTTACCTGAGGTCCTTGGACAGACAATCGTCGATCAATTCGAGAATAAACATGAATGGTTAAGAANAAGAAAATTGGCCACTGGCTATGGCCCAGCTTCTTCTGAGCAAGACTATTTGGACCGATAAATCAGAAAAAGGCAATAAAAAATAGTAGGAATGGTTCCAGAAAAGCGCTGAGTGTTTTTTCTGTATTGGGAATTGTTTACACAACACATTTCTGTAAACAGTGTGATTTTCTCCTCATTTCGGTTTTCTTTGGCACTTATTTTGCATTTTACCCATTTACACCAATCCATACTAGCCATTACACTGATTAGAGTAGCGAGAAGCTTATTCACTCGTATTTTTGGAATTGCAAACGACTGTACCTGTTCTTCCATCAAATTCTTTCCCATGCCAAAATCCCTGAGAATGTGAAGTGATGCTCGACGTTGTTCTCTCCAGTTCTCCCCCTGAAAACAGAAAAGCAGTAATTGGAGCTCTACTATCATAAAAAAGTGTTTTCCAAAAAAAAGAAAAAGCTTTTTAGGGTTCCCACATAGGATACGATAAGTTGCATGAGTACCTGCGAAAAAATCACTCCGCCGTTTTCTACATTTTGAAATATGGTATCAGGAAAAATACCGGAACGCCCAAGGAAGTCATCACCTGAAACTCATACTTTCCAAATACTAAACAATTGTAAAGACAGTTATTTGTAAAACGTCTTTTCCATTCTCGATTTGCCTCTAAGTTCAGGTAATCACTGGTTCCCTAATTACTACCGAGTTATCAGTTCTCCAATTCGCGATCGAAATGCGGCGATCAGATGGTCTACCAACGGTACCAAGGCCAATGTGTTATTGGGGGTAGAGAGGCGGGTATGGGTAAGGAACGGAGAGTGGGAGCGGTGATAAAAACATTTGAAAGTAAACTTGGTCAGTGGAAATCGAACATTTGATGTATTTATCACTCGTTTATAAGAGCCCCAATGGGATCGTTCCCATGGCCGAGTTGTATGAGGAACCCTTCATTCATCATATCGAGAACTCTTATGTGCCCATTCCACTTACCTGAGACATCTGTAGACACAGATATTTGGTAAAAGCGAGTTATTAATACTTAAAGGATATGTTCTTGCCAAAAAACGCTGTTACAAATGTCGGTAAGATTACCAGTCCCTTTACCATAAAGGTAATGGCTCAGGCATCATTCGGGAATCGAATGGAAGATAGCAGGACTGACCAATTTTCACAGTTTGGCGAGCAGCTTTGGAAGCATTTGCTTATCACACCATCCCACGCCAAACCGGGCCAGCTCAACGGCGAAATTTGAAATAAAAACATTACAAATCACACCTTTTTTCACAAATGCCTCCTTGACACCATCGAAATCCGTTATAACCACATGAGGTTTAGGTAGATAAACAGTGAATATGTTACCGTACTCCTTGGTGCATCTAGCGAATTCCTCATGTATTCTGGTGAAGTTCAACTATAACAAATGATGATAAGTGGAATAAATAGACAGTTCAAATGGTTTAACAATACCAACCGAAATTAGGTTGCCGACAAATGGGTATGGACGTGGTCCTTTAGGATAGCGCTTAGTGTTTTCATAAAATCGCCATATATAGATGGCTACAGCAGTAGTTAAAAGAAGTAATACTGAAAGAAAAAACATGTGTTGAACACCCCAATCGACTGGTTTTCCTATTTATACCCACCTGCGACCTTTGTGATTTGTGCGATACGGCGGTAAACATTCTCAGCACTTCGCACAATACAAACTTCGTCTTCCGACTGAGTTGTAAAAGCAGACTGACTTAATTGTTGTTATTATACTGGGATTTCAGGCAGCAAAAGTTCTACTATAAGGCAGTAATCATTGAAAGGGAAATAATATAAAAGGTAAAGGACAAAACCCTACAGATGTTAGTCAATCCTGCTTCTAGAATGCGTCCCATATTCGACTTCTATGTGGAATCCGCTTTGAATAGCGCTCTGAATGAGTATGTGGTAATTGATACAGAAGCATATAGGAATAACCTGCGCATAAGTTCAAGGTTCATTCGCATCTGCGAGGTCTTTCAGTATTCTTCTGTGCAAAGTGGGGTGCTTGCTAATTTCCGGATGTGGTGCAGTAGGAACGGAATAGTCGCGTCGCGGCAGGATTGACGCCGCGCGCGAAGGAATGTAGCAGGATGCAGCAATAGAAATGAAATACAGGAACAAAAGAACTAACAGTAGAATCATATTCAAAATAATGATCGCATATTGAATGAGCTGTATGGAGAACACCTGAGCTGCAATAACGGGAACGAATGGTCCGCGACAGCCGCGTGCGGCGAATCGATTACACAAGAAGTTCCTACTGCCCGTCTGCCAGGTAGCTAAATTCCAGTTGGTAGTTCTTGCCTGTACCGAAAGCCCAACCGAAAGAGTAATACACCATACAGGGACGGAGACTCTCAAGACTGCGTCGGATGAGAGATTATGCTTTTAAGAAGTTCCGTCATCTTCCCTGCTAATTTCTGCTTGCACGGTAACACGATAAGGATTACTTGAGTAAATTTCATCCTGCAAAGTCTCAGTGAGAAGGAACGAGTGACATTTTCTTTGGCAGAGTCTAGCACACGGGTTCTTCGATGTTCTTCAATCTTTTCACAGCTTCATGAATATCCATCTCCTTGGCTCCCAGTTATTCCGTGTAATGATTGCTTTTCAGTGACTATAAATTAATGTAGCATTTCTAAAGACATTCTGTTTGAAGAGCCTACTCAGCTTATTATCTCATCCATCAGTAACGACAGCTACCCTTTATTCTACATTACTCTACTCCTTTTCACTAAGTTTGATAGAAATTGTAAAAGGCAACACATTCAGTATTAATAAGTTCATAGTGTAGATCAATCCCAATGAACGAAAGTGCCCCCGCACGCGACTTCCATTCAGAACCGTATCAGCATTTGAATGTGTAAGTGGCATATGCAATACCTTGTCGTGGCCCTTGTCAAAATCACATTGAACAAGCATACCCTATAGTTTCGAACTACTGTGACGACACCAATATAAAGTTCAACTCGAGCCAATGCCTCTCGAGCACACTGCCTTCTACCCATAGATGATCGACCGTCTCCTAAATACAGTACTCATGACGGTAGAAAAGCAAAACATATCGTATAGCACGAACTTAGGTCATCTAATACACTTGACGCCAAAAACTAAAGTAATTCTAGAAGTGTTCTACGTTAGGGAAAAACTGCGTTGGAGTCCTGGTTGTTAATTTGATTCCGATTATAAATCTGATTCGTGGCGCAATCCAGTGCCGTGTCACTCGATTCAAAGGACTCTTCTGTCGGTTTTAAGGCATTTCATATTCGGATCAAGAAAATTGTTCAGGCACCTTATTAGGAGATTACATCTTCCATAAGGAATCGTTCGGGACGGAACTCGTGCCCATCCTTGGACACGGTGCGCAAGAATTTGATGAATCTCGAGGAGTACATGGTTATCGGCAGATATCATCACTCCTCTAACAGAGGTATCTCGTACAGAATTACGAATGCAATACAATTAAAGCTGCAATAATATATTATAACTAGAACCTAAAGTCCCCCACCATTCTCATTCGTGTCTATGTAATTTTTTTAAATTTTTCAAGTATATGATATTTACACCACGACTAACCAAAAGAGATAGCTTCCATCTTTCACTTCCCTCTCTGATATCATACTATAAGACCAATCTGCCTCAAACCTTGAACTCGACGATTTCCGTCTTCGCCCAGTTTTGTTTCAAGTCGGTCTTATTCGCAAACAGATCATACGAGTCAACAAATCTCAAGCTGTTGAATTTTCCAATGTTTATTAGGATGTTCAGAGCCCAAATCTACAGACATTGGACAAAAAAGCGATACTATCAGACTCCGTCCTTCAAGAAATAGCCATAGGACGTATGATTATGCATTGACGGTATCAGTGCATAACAGGAACTAATCGAAGTGGTTGCACCTTTGGAAGAAGAATTCCAGCAGGAATTGGTTCCAAATCGATGTCACGTCCTTTTGCAGGTTCAATCTGAAAGAAGTTTATTATCAGCTGACAGATAATAGGAGTTGTAGGGACATGCCATGTCGGGATATATGAATCCAGCGAGCAAACAGGACGCCAAAAATTCAGTGTAAAGGACTGGCATCAACGATCGAGGGGGACGAGCAGTGAGGGCAGGCACCCGACTCTTATAGTAATCCGATTATGGATGCTAGCTCGTACGAGTGTTTCGGTGCTATGCAAGACCCACGTATCCACAACCTGCTCTGGTCTCTGCCCAAGGTCACTACCAGATCGGGGAAAGGGGAGGGAGGGTTCGAATATTCAGCAGGCTTCCAAGACGTCGAGCCCGCTCTGCTGGTTCAGGAGCTACACTGTACGGTTTTTTGATCTTGTCTTCATTTTTTCATTTGCTTCCTTTCGCGGAGAGAAAGTGGTTGCATTGGTTTTGCCTTGGTTCCACTCAGCAACTGATTTCTTCGATTTCTACGTCTTTTCAAAACTGAAGAGAGTTTTTTATGTTGCCGATCAGTATGTTCAGAGTTTGCGCCGAAGTAATTGGCGATAAAAAGGGCTACTGCAAATGCCTGATGGAAGAGCCATTCGCTGGTTAACCTCGCTCCTGAATTCTCCTTATTTTATCGTCATCAAGAAAGTCTTTTTGTCCTTTTGCAGTTTCAGCAACCTATCTTGTCATTTAGTGAAGATGGAGTTAGTCTAGTGGAGTCTATGTCGCAGGCTTTTGTCACCGGGTTTTAACCTAATTATGACCCATTAAGTGAAACTACCACCTGACGTATTTTCCTTTCTATAGGATGAAAGACAATGGTTTTTGGTAGGGAAGTACGGGAGGAGGCCATTGAATTGGTGTTTGTTCAATCGATTCGCCGCACGCGGCTGTCGCGGACTAGATGCATCCTTATTGCCGTTCCAGCGTCTACTACATTTCTTGGTGCGCGACGTCACTCTTGCCGAAAAGCGACCATTTCTATTCAACCGCACCACACCCAGAAAGTACTCTCATCGCTCCCAGTACAACATTGTGAACGGCATGCGTCTTTCACCCTATCACAGGGCCTAAATTGATGGCTCAGAGAGCGATCCACTCTCAGTTTGGGCCATTTTTATGACGATGGGCAAGTTCTTTACTTTTTGAAGGATTTTTTCCAACGTTCACCCTTGACCTTTTGGATAAAGTCGTCATTGACGCATAGTTATGGTGTGGAAGGCGTTCAATGTGTTCGACTCCAAAACGGCAGCGATAAAGAAAAACTCAGAAAAAATTTTAGTCTTAGTGAGTCGGTAGGTATGTTTGCGTGGAAGGATATATGACAAGTTCGAAATGTTGACAGTATCCTAAGAAAAAGAAAACATTTTTTGCATGATGAATGGCAGCTCTGTTTTTGTTATTTACATAATCCCTTTTATTTAGCATTGAAAACGTAAGGACGTCATTTTGTTTACGTTACTGCTAGTTTGCCATGGTATAAATGACCACCAAAACACTAGTGATACCTGGCGTGATATTAAAACTGTGCAAAAAATGAAGATCCCGAAACAACTGCATTTCCGACTTCTTCAGAACTGCATAAAAGCTTCTAACAGGGGCTCTAAATGAGGGAGCAATATGAAAACTTGCACGGAATGTCGAACGGAGATTGTTCACTGGATTACAAAATTTTCTTGAAAAGAGCGTTTTGTGGGAGCCATCCAACTGCTTACTGGTTACTCTTTTGGGAAAGTTAGCATTAATTTGAATTTTCACAAAGAAAAGCAACAACATAGATAGTAAGTGTGAGGTAACCAGTAGTGCCAGAAAAACAGAAACGGGATTTTTGTTCTGAATTCAATTCTTAAGCAGCCTCTTGACCACTGTTGCTGATTTGATGCTGAATTTTTTTTCGGACAGGGGNAAACGGGATTTTTGTTCTGAATTCAATTCTTAAGCAGCCTCTTGACCACTGTTGCTGATTTGATGCTGAATTTTTTTTTCGGACAGGGGACAGTAGGTATCACTGGATTTTTATTACATAAAGGCAGGATAATGACAAGAACGAACTATGAAGTCGCCAGCTTTGGTGAGGAATACAAAATGTACGAGAATCGGTGGCAAGTTCTTCAGAAAGGATGCCAACGATTAGAAAAAACTCTACGTGCGGGTTACAGTAAACCTTCCCATGGCGGGGGTATGGGTACGAACGTGCGTTCCAGGATGGCAAATTGCGCGGCGAAGTTTGTAACTATTCAAACGACTTTGGCGCCTATCATTGGGGCCCAAATTCGAAGTAGAATAGATTAGAAGGATCATCTGACCCTAATAAGCTACTCTACTCAGAGTTTGTGTCCCAAAAATTGGCGTCAGAGTCATACAAACCGTCACGACCTTCGCCGCGCAAGTTGCCGCGCGCGTCCTCGGACGCACGTTCGTACCCCCATGGCTGTAGAGTTATGTAGTTTTTACCTTGAAAACCCGTAAGACACTGTACAGTATATATTTACCTTGCACTCTCACGGGGCTTTAAAAAATATAAAAATTGATAAAAATCTCGTGAGTGTTTAAGGCATGAATAAATCTAGCTGTAGTTTGAAAATATTGCCGTTGAACGATAGAACGTAAACATTCTGGTAAATGTCTGTATAAGCGAAACTAGAAGGTCATTGTAAGCATTTTGATATAGTTTTCGGAAAAGCTGTTGCAACAAACAATTGCGAAGCTTTCAAAATCTCTTCGATGAAGCTTACCCTATAGTTTTGGAGTAGTGTGATGACACCAATGAAGAGTTCAACTCGAGCCAAAGCTTCGCCAGCACATTGTCTTTTCCCCATCGAGAATGGACACAGGTGATCGACAGCCTCCTAAAAATAGTATACATGATGGTATATCAAAGTGTATCCTACCCTACGGTTCAGTAAGAACCATAAAATTCTATTTGTAAGCTTCTAATTCAGATGCCCTCGGTAGAGAATCACTGTGAAAAGACTTTCCAATTTTGCCGAACTTTCCAGCAAGAGCTAAACGAACTTGGCAGCAGATCTAGTCAGTTTAGACTGTTGAGACGTCAAAAAATTTGGTAGCAAGCTCTAGGCTTCGGTAGGAACCAGCCTTTTTACTTGACTACTGAAGTACTGAAAAGGCATTCCTCCCTGTCCGTTTATCAACCGCTAGATTCAGCCTAACCGCCAAGGAATCAGTGATCAGGAATGGAGTGGATGCTAAATATGAAATGTTTCTCGCGATCATACACCATGCGATGGATCTATTCATACCTTTTAAAAGGCTCTCTCCATCAGTGTCCAAGTTACCGTCTTATCTTGTATCAATGTGGAACAGAAGGGAACAGCTTTGGAATTCAGCCGTGAATACGCAACAGCCTTCGGAATGGGAAAGATATAACCTATTAGATAAGATGTACACTAAGAAACTGAGTAAATACTACGCTTATGTTGAGGCCAAA